TAATTTCAACTAGAATTTGAATTTGTCCCAAAGGAAGGTAATCCAACGAGCACCACAGAGTAGATATGAAGTTTTCGCACCTATGTCCAATCTGCTTGAAGGTCTAGGGGTGCCATGCATAGAGCGGAATATTTGAAGTTGTGATCCAAATCTTTTGTTTTCTGAGGATTCCAATGTTTGTTGGCCAAGGTAAAAGGCTCAGTCTAGCTCGTTTAAAATGGGGGTCACATGAGGCTAAAGTTGTGCTAGCCAAGGTATCTTATGGGAATGAGAAGAGGACGGGCCCCTCAGAGAGTTTCCAACACCCCAGGTCTGGTTCATTCCAGAGTTCTTTGCACCACTTTTTTATTCCTCTAATGTCGTTCCTCCGAGAGTGAAACACCCCTATGAGTGAATGCTGGAGGGATGTCAACCTTTTAGCAAGGAAATCTCCATTAAGGACCTGGGGATGGGTATGATTGAGGGATAGGGGTTCAAAGGAGAGGAAAGAGGGCTTAGGAGTGGAGAGAACTTGTTGGGGCTTGTCTGATCCAGTTAATGTATCGGTGATAAAGGATGGGATAAGGTGGAACTGGCTTGGTTGAGTTTTTCAGAGGTTGTGGCGAGCTAAGGTATGGGTAGAATTGCTAAGAAACCCAAGGGATAGAGTGCAATTTAGCTCCATGATTGCTTGATGACTAGGTATGATTGCTGGTTGCAGGAGGCAAAAAGAGAGGCTTAGAGGGGGAAAGGAAGGCCTTGTTGCTAGTTGCAGAAGGGGAGCATGGTGATGGTTCCAATATTTCAAGATCTTGCTTTGACTCTTACGATTGAATATGCCACTACCTGTAATCCCCTCTTCTGGGATACAGATGATCGCACTTCCTATTGAACCCCTTGAAGTGAAAAGCATAAAGAAAGCTATGGGCTAGGTCAATGATATGCTTCCTCCAGAGAATCTCAAAGGCCTTCCAGATGAATGATTGAAGCACAAAATTGAAAATGCACAAGGGAGACCCTCCTGATGGGCGATTTCTCATTATCGAGTCATGAGCAAGAATTTAGTTGTCACAGAGAGGAAAATATCTGTTGTGTAGATTTCAATCAAAAATGGAGCATGAGCAAAAGCCAACACTAAATGATTTTGGAAAGAACAGCACTTGGATTTTTCCCCAAAACTCATTTAAGGGCCATTTGGATACCTGGAAATATATTGTCTGTGAAATATATTACTGGCGTAATACATTACTACGCAATATATTACCTGTAAATGGATTGTTACTGTTTGAGTAGTATTTAGATGCAACCTGGGAAATACATTGTTATTGTTTGGCTATGTCTGGAAGAAATATAGGAAATGCATTACCAATATTTTTACCAGTACGTGCCTATAAACTATCGTTTCTTTCTTTTTTGCCACAAAATTCCACTAAAATGTAGAATTATCATTTCCTTCTTTTTTGTCACAAAATTCCACTAAAATACTAAATTAAAATCATCATCACACCATTCCAAAAAGATTTCTAATAATAATATTATCACCATTCCAAAAAGATTTTCTAATAATAATTTGTACCATTTTACAGTCATGACACTATTTCCTAGTTATTTTAAGTGCCTTTGGCACTTATATGCAATCACATGTTTTCTAACATGACATTGGTTTCAACATGATAAGTCATTAGAACAATATGATTGGAATAAGATGATTTTATTATGCTAAGCCCTATTTTTATTTATTTTTTATAGAAGTCTTTCAAATGTCTCTCTATATAATTTCAAATAAACAATAAATTTATGATACTAAATTCAAAATCTGTAGGGTACGAGTTAAAAAATGGGAAGAAGTTTGATCAGTAATCTAGAAGGTTTGGTAATTGCAGTATAAAATTTTGAGGTATTGGAGGAAACTAAAGAAGTATGTTAATTCAATTGAGAATTTAGTAATCTCTAATGAGGATTATATTGTGTGAAACTTTTTATTATGATTGTGTTGTGTAATTTATCATTGATTTTACTTTTTTTTGTTTTTTTTTTTTTTTTTTTTTTTTTTTTTTTTTTGTTTATATTGACTACCG